TTTGAAATGGGTTTCTGGGTGGAAGAAGGAACTGGGTCAGTTTCACTGGACTTGGAATGTATCTATATATAGTGATTCAGCTTCAAGCCAGTGAGCTCATCTACACCCAGGATTTACTCAGATTCATAACACTTCCAAAAATATCATGGCCAGGACTGGGTGGGTCATTCTGCTGCCTGGATTTTTAATACTTGGTCAGTCTCTTGATGACAGTTGCTATGTTTAATTGGGTTTTTTGACACTGAGTTATTATAATTCTTCTAATCTGTTTTGTGGGGTTTTTTTTAAGCTAGGTTTATTAGACTAAGTTGCCATAGTAACACATACATTCTTTGTTTTAATGCATGTGATGATGGTAAATCTGTGTTGGAATAGAGTAAGTTCTGAAAATCTACCTAGTGAACATCTTTGTAAGACAGTTACCTCAGTAATTTTTAGTATGTATGTGCATGAGAGTCTTAAGATGTTTTTTCTGCTTTGTAGGATTTTTTTCTAATTCTTTGATTAGTTTTAAGAATGTTTTCTAATGAAGAGTTATCAGTATAATTGGAAAATAAGTATTAAGTGAGATTACTTAACTGTGAAACTTGAGTGCCATCCTGCTAATGAAGATGCCAAAAGAAAATTAATCCGAGAAATTTATTTGAGAGCAAGAGGAAAGGAAAAGAATCTTAAAGGTGTCAGCTCTTAAAAGGTGTTCATAAGCAAATGCACACATCCTCATCTTTACCTTGGGTGATTCTGACAAAATATTCCTTTTCTGTAATAGCTTGCTTCAAAATAGATTAAAGACCTGTTTTGCTGGTAAGATTGTCTCTTACGGTTTTCCCCAGCATAATTTTGATCAGTAAAAGCTTAATATCTTCATACATTCAAATGACAAGATTATTTTTGTTCATTTTTCTGAATGTATGACTATCTAAAGAATCTATGTTGATGTTAAAACATTGAGGAAGAGGGATTTAAATTGAGCATTCAGTGATAACATTCCCCTGTGAAGCATCATGCTATTTATCTGGTTGTTGAAAGTACCCTAATGCAACTGAATTAGTTTCTCTAAAAACTAAACGTTGGGTGTGCTCTTCAGTGTCAGTGATGCAACATATTTCTAAATTTGTCTGCATTTGACTTAAGATAGTCATCTACAGGCTGAGATAGTTGGGTCTGTTCAGCCTGGAGAAGAGAAGTCTGCGTGGAGACCTCATAGCAGCCTTCCAGTGTCTGAAGGGGGCCTACAAGGATGCGGGACAGGGATTCTTCGTTAGGGACTGTAGTGACAGGACAAGGGGCAGTGGGTTCAAATTGAAATAGGGGAAGTTTAGATTAGACATAAGGAAGAAGTTCTTTACAGTGAGGGTGGTGAGGCACTGGAATGGGTTGCCCAAAGAAGTAGTAAATGCTCCATCCCTGGCGGTGTTCAAGGCCAGGTTGGATAGAGCTTGAGGTGACATGATTTAGTGTGAGGTATCCCTGCCCATGGCAGGGGGGTTGGAACTAGATGATCTTAAGGTCCTTTCAAACCCAAACTATTCTATGATCTGTTTAAAAAAAGAAATACTATGTTTGAGAACTCCATTATTATGGTTTGTGACCTTTTTAGAATAATACCTGCTTGTTCCTCTTTTTACTAGTAATCTGAATGTTTTGTGGGAAGTAAGTAGCAAAGGGTGACAACTCTGCTGTCAAAAAACCCCCAAACTCTAAAACCACATTGAAATAAGTGTAAAAGTAACTTGAATCAAAAGAGATTGCACAATGTTACTGGTTACTGAAGAGATAAAGTAATTAGATGCAGGTCTGGACTTGTGCTGATGGTAGTTTGTCATTTAAAGTCAACTGTACTGAAGTAGTCCATAAAGGATTAAAAGAGGGTCACAAGTTTGTTGTAATAAGTACAGTAGAGCTCCCAACAAGGAACACTCCCCACACAGAGGAGTTCGCTATACTCTCTTGAAGGGATTTCAACCAAATCAATGCACATGCTTATTTTGGAGGCAGCCCTTAGGGTGTGTTCTATTTATTTTATTTTCTACAGAATACTGTTTCAAAACAGTTACTGAAGTTAAATGTCTAAGTGTAAACAAGCTTATAAAGAAAATAAATTACTGTGACAATGGGATAAAATTGAACAAAGGTAAAAATAGCAACCAGAATTTTGCTCTTGATTGGGTGTAGGGAGTGTTGCTGGCTTCCAGATTCATGTTTCACTCACACGTCTGAGTGAAAAGACAGTAGTTTTTCAGTCAGCTGAAGTATTTCTAGCATATGGCCTGAAATGAAAGACCTGGTGGCGTCTTTTAAGAAGCTGAAAAATAGACCATTATGCTCATGCCATGGTGGAGCAAATAAGAGTAACTTATTCAAAAGGAAAAAAATAATATAGATTCTTAAAACGAGAGGAGAAAATCAAGTTGTATACAGTAGAAAGTGGGATCAAGACTTTGAAAAGTTAAGACACCCAATGAGTGTCTTTTTTATTAAATTAAATGGACTTCGGTCCATCATGGTGTGATATGTAAGGATCATGGAAGCCAACAATAAAAAGAATATAAATCAAGACAATGAAAAGAGTTCTGCAGATAGCAAAATAACCTTGCATTTATACAAGGCATCAATAAATATAGATTAAATTTATGTGAAGGAAGACAAAATTAAAAATGATGCTGTCATGATAATGACAGCACTACAGATAAAGGAAAGTAAGATGATTTGGGAAGGAGGCAAGTTCAGTTCTAGATATGTTTAAACTAGTGATGAGTTACGCAAGGTCTGAAATGCAGTGAAAGTAGTATTTAAGAGTAGTTGCATCGTTGAAAATAAGCCTTATACCTTGTATTGTCATGCAGAACTCAAGATTATTCTATTATTAAAGTATTCAGAAATACTGAAGTATATGTTGTACATTAAATGTTGTCTATGGAATTAGAAGTATGATTGTGGATTTTTGTTAGGTATAACTGAGTCATTTTTTCAATAACTGAAAAAAAAACCACCTGGGCTGATCAAAACACGTATACATTCAGATCTGTATTTGTTTCAATGTACCTTGAGAAACTGATGCTGTAGTTAGTAGAAGCACTGTAATTACCACCAGGATCTGGAAGAGCATTTTCAAAGCTGCTGTCTAAATTAGTTCACACAATAGTCATAAATAGATGAAAGTGGAATAATTGTCTTTTATTAGTGAGGTCACAGTTCAGTAAACAAAGCAGTAAAAATAATAAGGAACTACAAAAGATTTCGCAAATACTTACGTAGATGTTTTGGAATTGTGTGCTGGTAGGAAATACTGAATACTCAGGATGCACAAAAATGTTTAGGCGAGTGTATACTTGGATTGGTTTCCTCTTGTAAGAATAAATATATTAAGAGATTAATGTAAAAGTTAGCTGATATTTGCTGAATCACTTAATTTTGATAAGATATGCACCTCTCCACTGGTAACAGCTTGATTCAATTCACACATCTGCTGTAGGTAAGAGAAAACTGCACACAAAAATGCAGTTGAACTGAAAGTTTTGGAAAAATTGGTGGTATTCATTACAGTCTTTGCTTACAAAGCACAGTCTTTGAGAACTGTTAAGGAAAAAAGGGAAAATGACGTGACATAAAGCTGTAGGTTATTTTTTAAAGGTTTTTAGGTACTTCTAAATTCCCATGTACAGCCTATTACATGGAATTGGAGAAAAGCCATAGGACTAGTCTAGAAAAATTTAGTTTTACTAATTTAGTCTTACTAAGCCAATCATTGTATGAAAGTGACAGTGTCTCAGTAACTGTGAATAAAACAGCATTATATGGTATCCTTTTACAAGAAAATCTGGATTTTTTTTTTTTTTTTTTTTAATACTGTTCTCACTCCAGTGCTGTGCAAGTACTTTGTTAATTAAAGTAAATACTGAAGATCATTGTATTTGATTCTTCCTCTACTCCATGCTCTAATTAATATATTGTAGAACAGTGAGATTAAATAAATGCTTTTTGTACTTCAGCAGTAGTTCTAATATGTTCTGTCTAATATTATTCATCAAACTTGTGGGTCAACTGCAATGAAAGTGGTTGCCCACACATGAGTCTTACTCTTGTGGTTGACGTTCTCATCATACTGTAGGAATGCAGTTGTCGTTTGTTTCTTATACTGGTATCTATCACCATAGCATGTGGGTGTCTGAAATCATGATCTCAGACTGATGCAGGTCTTCAGGTAACGTGCCAATCTCACGGTGGTCTTGGAAAAATAAGGCAAGCTTTGAGCCATGTTACATATTGTTAACTATGATTTATAGGCTTGGTTATAGAGATTCAATGCAAGGAGTGGAATACTATGGTAACAGGCTGACATTAACCTGTACCACTGAGTAAAAGATATTTCCACATTCGGAAACCACTTTTATTTTAATGTAGGTGACTTCATGTCTAAGTTAGGCTTTGCTATTGCAGAATGCTTACTCTCCAAATAGAACAGTCATTGTTAAGGGCTGTTTCCATACTGAATTACAGGGATTGTTTCTATAATTATATCATGTGCACTACAACTGTATTTGGTAGATTCCAGTCTTCTATTAAAATGATAAAATACAATCCAGAAGTTTTTCAACAATATTTGCTTGCTTATTTTGTGTAATTCTCAGTGTATTTGTCCTTCAGTGTATTCTGTTACGATTTTATAGAGTGTAGGGTTTGTAGGGTTTTACAGAGTGTAGGGAGGAAGGGAGAGGGAGGGACACCTTCAGAAGTAATTAATCTACTTCTAATAGAGTTGCTTAAATAGTTCAGGTGAATCACCCTCTAGCATACCTGTTTCTTTTTGTGGGCTATGGAGTGAGTCTGGGTGACTATCTGCAATTAGACAACTGACTTTTAGACTAGAAAAAGCTAGGTAAGATGAACCTGTCCTTAGTGATTGAAACAATGATGGCTGCCTGGGTAATTGCAGAAGACTTGCATCGTTTTCAATTTTGCTTATTCTTATTCCTCCTATTTTATTTTTACTGTCATAGGTCCTGATGTCTTTACATGAAATGTTCCCAGCAGTGCATGCAGCAGAAATGGCTGTCCAGAGAAACCCACGTTCCTGGGATGCCTGGCAAACTTTGGGACGTGCCCAGCTTGGATTAGGAGAGATAGCACTGGTAGGAAAATGAACATTAATATGCTAAACTTGTAAACCACCTCCACTGAATTGCTTGTGAGAGAATGAAAGTCCAGAAATATCAAAGTAGCTGTGTATCCTTACGTAACCTGAAAGCAGGCAAGGAAAATGATGTTGTTATTTATCTCCAGTATTCATTCTACTTTGTTGTTTTTCACAAATGTTTCCTGTGTGGTTTTGTTGCTGGGCTTGTGGAAGACCTGCCTCGCTCAAAGCCTTTTGTGTTATATACTATATTTATGTGGTGGCTTTATGCAATAGAATAATTACGTTGACATAACTGCACATACTACATTCTGGGTACTGTACTGCTACAACACAAAGCTAACCATAGTTTGAAGATGAAGGTAGTGTGAAGTCCCAGTTGATATTCGCTCAGTTTTGTACACACCTGTTAATAAAATTCTGGTATCCTGTTTTCAGTCTCCCACTTTCCTGCCTCAGGTGCAGTAAACTGTGTGCTCACTCATGATTTCCTCTAGCTCCTTGACCCCACGTGGTAGCTGAGGTTGCTCCTTTTATTAATAAGACAGCAAAAAGGCTATGATGCTCTGCATTAGCACAAGTGGATCTTTAGCTGCACCTGCATGCCATGGCACTGGCTTGGCGACATGATATGATGCAAACGGAGACTTTTCCCCCACATCACATCACATCACCTTCCACCTACAGGCTATACACCTGTAAATAATGTAACCGATATTTAGGATAATAATGTTCTTCTAGTCAGTGTGGAAACATAGCAAGTGAACTTTAAATTCAGACACATCCACAAAGTCCATTAGAAAAACGATTCATCATGAACTTTCAGATAAAGATACTGGTTTTATTTTATTTCTAATAGAATTAGCTGTGTGCTGGTGTGATAGAAATAACTTTGTCATTAATTTGGAGTGGTTTTGCAAGGTTACAATGTTTAGACTGAAAATTTTCAAGAATAAAAAGAGAATTATGATTTTTTTTTTTTTGGGGGGGGGAGGCTAACAGATCATGAAAAAAGCAGTTTATTTTTAAAATGTAGTAAGGAGCAGTTAAAAAGAACCAAACCAGACAAAAAAACCCCACCAAAAACAAAAACCCCACAAACAAAAAACCCAACAGATTGTGGGAGTAACAGAAGAAAAAAGCTGTGTGTTGCAGATGTGTAGTGTGCTACCTTATGTTAATACAGTATCATAATATGAACTATTTAGAAATACTTCATATAAATCCATGCATATCTGAATTACATAACTAGTGGCATTCCATAGCTTTTATGGTGTAGAACATCAGAGTAGATGGTCTCTCCTGTCTGGATCTACAAACTATAAATCTTTTTTTTTGTTTCCTTAATGTCTGAAATTGTCACTGTAAATTGTGCCTGGGATTTTTAAATGAATTAGTCTCAGGAAATTCAAAGTTTTATTTCCTGCAAGGATCCTAGGTAACTGATGCCAATTATTCTACAAAAAATACTACAGTTAATGTCATGTGAATTATAGATACTGATATACCCATACTTGTTACACTACCAGCTCTGCTCACCCTTTGTCTACATTGGCAATTCACGTCGCACCGGTAGAATCACAGAATGGTTTGGTTTGGAAATGACCTTAAAGCTTATCTGTTTTCAACCTCCTGCTATGGGCAGGGACACCTTCCACTAGACCAAGTTGCTCCAAGCCCCATCCAACACCCCTGCCAGGCATGGGGCAGCCACAGCTTCTGTGGGCAGCCTGTGCCAGTGTCTCACCACTCTCATAGTAAATATAGGAGTGGATGTCCTGAGTTAATAGTGGTGGAGACCCAGTGTTCGCATTATATTTAATTTGGTTTACTTCAGAATAGCATTTCAGGTGTTCTTTTGGAGTGCATTGTCAAGCTTAATCAGAGAGGAATGTAGTTTTTGTAGTCTGAAAGTATTCCGTGATTCAAACCAAGGCATTTTAAGTGGGAACAATCTGAGATTTTCATCAAAGCTTGTTTTCAGCTGATACAAGATGCTACTATAGATGCTCCTGTAATTGTTATATTGACCTTGCCATCTGTGAAGAGAGAGGGAGAAGGAGTTACCAGCAGGTAGTTTGCTCTCTTAATGTTTTTGTTTGTCTCCAAGTAGGGAGTGCAGGGGTAAGTATGCTCCTGTTGGTGTCTTCAGTGCTTTAGAACTGGGTGTTTCTACTTTTTTGCCTTTCTGTCTTTAAGGCATATTGAACTGCCTTCTGATGAATATGCTCTCACATACAGAGAAGAAGTTCAAGAGTTGCTCTAAAATTCAGTTAATGTTCACTATTTATTTTTGAACCAAACAATTTTTAAGGAATCTGAAAACGTTAAGACTCGAGGAGTGTTTTAAGACTAAATTAAGGTTGAATGTTTTCATAATTACTGAACCTGTGGAGGCTTCTTGACCAAGTGATCTAAGTCATAATTGTCCTGTTCTAAGTCATACTTGTCCTTTTCCTATTTGCGTTTAATTACCATTATTTGCTAATATTTCACTGCATTGTACTTTTTACAAAGAAAATTTAGTAAAGTATGAATGTCAGGGCTTTTTAGTAATATTTGAGATTTGGGAGTTAGTACCCTTCTCACGAGCAGCTTTTTCTGTTTGTTTCATTTGTCCCCCACCAGTGCCTGTCTTCACTACCCACATCCTGCCAAATGTTCTGTTGTAAATATTTTTATTACTTCACAATAAAATTATGCACTTTTCTTGGGAAAAGACAATTTACTATATTTTAATCTCAAAGTTTCCCAGGTCTAAAATACAAATCTAATTTATATTATAAGCTGTGTAATATATGAATTTCTTGCAAACAAAGAAAGATTTGTTTTGATTTGATTTTGTCAAACTTGTGACAGAAAGAGTGAGATAAATTAGCCCCCTTTTATTTAGCTTTTGAAAAGCTGTTTGTTCTTTTTTCTAACTTTACTAAATAGGTAGTTCAGAGGTAATCCTTCAATGTGAGCAGGCAGAACTTTTTGTTTCTGTAAAGGCAGAAATTCCTTCTACAAAACAATTTGCAAGACCACACCCAAGTAAACTTTGCAGTGGGAATGTAGAAATGCAGTCAGGCTTGAAATATTTCTCTCATCTAGTTGTGAACATTTTTTACAGCTGATATTTACTGTACTGGTGATAACAAGCTATAACAATTTCACACTGATATCTTCATTAGAACAGTTCCTCCCATGAGGCAGAGTAAGCACCACACTTTGATTAAACAAGCAAACAAACCAAACCAACCAAACAAATGAAGAAAAGCAGCATTAAAAAATAAATAAAAGACCTACTGAAAGTGACTGAGTCTCCCATCTTGGAGAAGTTCATAAGCCATCTGGACATGGTCATGGGCAACCAGCTCCCAGTGGCCCTGCTTGATGAACAGGGGTTTGGCCCAGATGACCTTGGAAGGTCCTTGCCAACTTCAACCAGTCAGTGACTTAAGCCTACCCTGATGTGGGCTGGGGCCTCTGTGTTGAATCTGGAGTACTGAAGATGACAAAGTTAACTGGGCAGATGTGTAAATACAGACCAGTTGTGCATGCTTTTTTTTGATGTTCTGAAGGATGTGGTTTGCTGCATTGTTACTAAGTAGTTAGTGGTTTAGCAGTCTTGAAGTGTGACACTGCATCTTGTAGAAGGAATCAAGCCTTGATCCTGTGAATTCTTAGATCAGCCCTTTCTTCTATTTCTCTTGAAGGAAATAGTTCTAGTCTTTTATGTAATGCTGGCAGTTATGTGCTAGCAAAGAGAGGAAATAATACATTTTACTGGAATCCAGCTAATTAATTCTGAGGTTGAGAGAATGTTTCAAATGTTACTAATGTAAGTGTGTGGAAACAGATTTTGGTAATCAGAAGGAAACTGATGGTTGGATTTCCACTGAAAAGCAGTCAAATATGTGCTTCAGGTTGTGTTCCTGTCAACTTGAGGGGATAAATAACGCAGGTGTTCTTTTTATAGATTTAGATGAGATTAAAATATTTAATTGTGCTGCTGTGTTAATCTTCCTTATAAACACAAAAGAATGTGTGTATTATTTTATAGTGATGGAATATTTAACTTTATCATCCAGGTTGGATGGGGCTTGGAGCAACCTGGTCTAGCAGAAGGTGTCCCTGCACAGGCAGCAGAGTTGGAACTAGATGAGCTTTAAGGTCCATTCCAACCCAAACCATTCTGTGATTCTATGATTATTATCTTAATATTGTTGATACCCATTCTTCTTAAGTGCATAAAAAGAGGCAGTGCGATTTTGAAAATTGCTATTTGTTGTATAATTTTGGCCTAGAATTTCTTGTTATTCCATTTGCAGGTTTTGTGTCACGCTTTAAATGGTACTGTCGTACTTATCAGGATTTGATAAAAGACGTTTCTTTAGAAAATACAAACTGTGACAAGGGCATATTTCTGTCCTGCTGACTTCATCTTGTACTATACTTCTGGGTTCATATGTAACAACAGACCCTGGTGAGGATACTTAGTTCTTGTGAGCATTCTCCACTGACTTGGTTGAGGCACATGTCCTCTGGCCTCTCCTGCCAGCCATCAATTAGGCACTGTGCTACAGGGAGAACATGAGCTGAGTCACCCCTGCTGGTGATGCACCTTCATCTGCACTGCATCAGTTCTCTGCAGTTCAGAGTTCAAATAGATAACACATCATTCATATTATATCATATAAACTATTAAACTAGAGTGAAAATAGCTGAAAGAATTAGGTTTTTTATTTATTCTTTAAAAAAATGTGATGAGAAGTTTTTAAATATACTGAAATTTCACAAGTGTCTCTATGTTAAAGGTTTCTGTAAAGATTACTCATGTTCATGGTAAGTAATACAAGAAATAAGAGAGAGCAGAGTGGAGCAGGAGAATCGCCACCCTGGGTCTCCTGATCACTTAACACAGCCCAGGATACACTTGGCTTTCTGGACTGCAAGTGCACATTGTTCAGTCATGTCTGGCTTTTCATCTACCAGTATTATGTTGGATGCTGTTAAAACAAATCCATATTTAGGGAACATTAAACAAAGAAAAACATTACCTGTAGTTGTATACATATCTTCACTGATGGACATCCTTTGAACGAGGTCAGATAGTGACTGTCAGATGTAACATAAAGGCCTAATTCAAACCTTGGGGGCAGGTGTGAACTACATGACTTCTCAAAATGGTCTCTTACTTTTTTTAGGGGTCACTGCATAGCGGCAGTTACTAGGTCCATATGTTACAGAAACATGCTATAAAAGGTGTAGTATGATCAAAACTTCCCTTCACATTGAAAGACTGCAAAACAGCAGAAAAGATTCTGCTCACAGGACAAATGAAAGATTGTTTGCTACAGAATACCCTATAGTGAGATGAAATGTAAAATATTTTGAAAATACAAATTCTTCAAATACTGTAATTCAGCAAGCAAGAGCATCTTGCAGGAGATTTTATAATACTGTTCCCTATAGAAGTCCTGTGGTCCTTACCTGCAGAGTCTCTCAGGATCAGAGCGCCCTTTAAAATGAGGCTAGAAATGCTGAGTTTATCTGGTGCCACTACGTTTTCCTATAGTGCCAGACTGACAGTTGAAGTTTTACATCTCCATTGGGGAGAATTAAAAGTAGCACTGTTCTTTTCTTTTGTCTTCATAGAAATTAATAGCAGTGGAAGCTGTTACAGTGTCAACAGAAAATTTTATGTGGATTGCAGTTCTGTATTTTTCAGTATTGCATTGCTGCTTCAAAATGAATCCCTCTGATCTTCTGCAACATTTCAAATTTACTTTCTTTTTAATATCTTATTACTTTAAAAATGTCACACAAAATCTTCTTTTCCTAATAGATTTACAAAGATGATCTTTTTATGCTTTATTGTATGAATCAACAAAGCAGTTTCTAAGCTTAACAAACGTAATCTTGTATTTGATTACTGTTGAATGTTATTTATTGTGCATATACATAACTATATAGTCAGGTTGTAATTAGGGCACATCTTTCATGGAGAGCAGATGGTGTTTGTTTATATTTTGTTTTCAACAGAAATACAAAAAAAGAGCATTTAATATTTACTTGTAGCTTATGTATCACTGGAAATTAAAAGCTAGCAAAGTTGAATAAAATGACCCTGTGTTGCAAGAATTATGCTTCACTCCTCCTTCTGTTTAAAGTTCAGCACACTCATACACTTCAGAGCTGGCTGTGAGCCAATCATAAAGTAGTACTTTTTTTCCTGGAACTGGAAGGCTGACTATTACAACAGCAGTAATACTGATAGCACAATCAGCATTTCTTAAATCTGATTCGTATCTCTTGTCTGCCGAGTTCACGTCATACAGATTTCATATATTAATCTGAGCCAGCAGAAAGATGAGTTCGCAATTTCTGTCAATGCAGAAGAAAAGTTCTGATTTTTTAAATTGATTTGCATGCTTTAAGTATTTATAAATTACAATACAATATGGCATTCGATGGTTGTTCAAACATCTTTAAAGTCTTCATAAGTAAGTTGCTAGAACTTTTCCCAAATACAATCCAAATCCGTATCATCACTGTTTTCCCACACTACAAGAAGGCTTCTGTTCATCATCACACAAGAGTTTTTTCACTCAGGTGGTCATTTCCACAACTGACCATACAGTCATAAATGTGAAATACACACAGGCCTGTGCATACATACACATAAGTCTGAGTAGATAGGATCAATCTGGAGCTTTTCGCTGTGACTGTAACTATAAATACAATACATCGTAGATTCTTCGTCTAGCATTTTTCCAGTATTATAGCAATCTCTTCTTATTGTTGAATATCACATCTACTGGGTTAGATGGTCACATTTTTCTTATGCTTATCAATTTCTGTGTTGATTATTTTGTTGGGAGTTAGTTTGTCTACTTTTGTCCATTCAGCAAAGTGTGTTTGCAACCACAAACCTGTCACAGAAAGTGCTTATCAAGGGGCTGTGATTACTGTAGTACTAGGTGTGTATGTGATATGACTACATGCCAATTTGAAAGCAGCAATATTAGTGATGCATGAAATCCCAGTCCTTTTCTGTATTTCTTTAAACCATATCTGTCTGCCTTTGTTTTCCCATGCAACTGATGATAGGAGAAAAGTGGGATAGAAAACCATCTAAACAAAAATTATTCTTGCTTTTACCTTTTTAATTCCAATATTATGTTTGACATGTGAAGACTTATTTGTGCCCTTGTTGCCAGATTTGTTCATTCTTGGTACTTTCAGACAATTGTATGCCCAGTTGCTTGGGCACTGCTATTGAATTTACAGCCTTGGGTGACATAGTTTAGTGTGTGGTGTCCCTGCTCATGGCAGGGGGGTTGGAACTAGGTGATCTTAAGGTCCTTTCCAACCCTAGGTATTCTGTGATTTTATGATTGTATGATTGTTCCAGACAGTCAAGACTGGAGTAAAATCACTTTTGTCTTTGCTTGAATGATGTATTTGTAGTATTTTGTTGTTGTTAATTTTTGTTATGACATATGTAGGTTTTAAAGTGTCCAATCCTTGTTTCTTCCCTATTCTGTTTCTAGGCAATCCGTAGTTTCCAAGTGTCCTTACACATCTTTCCAATGAACCCTGAAGTATGGAAAGAGGACCTTTCCTGGGCAAGAAAACTATACGAACAGCAGAAGGCAACAAAGACTGAGGCCATGCACACACTAGCAAAAGTTAAAGAGCATGCACAAGAATCAATCCCAGACTATGACTTCGAAAGTGATGAAGTTGTGGCAGTCTGTGCTGCCATTGCGGAGAAGGAGAAAGCTCTTTCAGAAGCTAGAACAGTAGTGATTGTGTCTGCTTCAGGCACAGTAGAAACTGTTACTGAGAAAGAGGATTGTCCTGCAACTCCTGATGAAACCCTTTTCATCAGAGCCCGATAGGGCAGCCTTATGGGTTGCCATACTTTAAGAACTACTGTTATTTATTGTATTGGGCTTCCTTTGGTTTTGTTTTTTAAGCAGTGTGAGAGCCTACAAAAGTTAAAGAGTTGCAGTTACTTTACCTTTGTAAATTGAAAAAGCAGTGACCTGAGTTATTTCATGCATATTTTTGGAGAAGAAAGCCAAGAGTTTGCGAACAAATACAATGTTAAAATGCTTAACTACATTTTAATAACTGTTTTCATCTGTACGAATTACATAATTTTACAAGTTAATGTCTACATTGTCTCAGTAATTAATAAGCTTTTATTTAAACTCATTGAGAAAAAAAATGGATTTTTTTAAAGTCTATTTCAGTCCTTATTCATTAACACTGTTTTTGTTCCAGATAAAGTGTGAACTGTTCTCTGTTATCAAAAGTCTGTATTTTCTTTATGATTACTTTTCTGTGAGGAAGCTTCCTATGAAGCAGAAATGGGTTGTTATTTTGCTTGTGTGTGTGATAGATCCGGTATCCTATTTGTAGTCAAATGAAATCAGTGGAAACTTTCCTGTTGCTTTCATAGGTGTATGGGTTAAACACTTTCTGATCAGATGAAAGGGAATGCTATACCAGACAGGGCCCTGAATGCTAGTTATTACTGAATGTTTCACCAGAAGAAAGAACATTCATCTGAGACTGAAACTGGCCTTGAATGCTGTGCTATAGACATCATCAGAAGTAAAATGGTGGGAGTTGGAAATACGTATGTCTGACATGTATTATATTTAGGCTTTTATTTCCTAGTAAGCTAATCTGATAAAAGGAGTCAATTTGTTTTTCCTAATTTTTATGACCTGATACTTGAAGTATGTTCTTAGTGAAACAATTCTTCAGGATAGCATTACCCAAGTCTTCCTTTTTATCCTTTTTGGATTTTGGGTGCTGTGGTGAGTATTCACATTGTGTTAACTTAGAGGTGTAATATACGAGATTTGTTAAATGTTCATCTTTCTTTAGGGGAAGGTGTGTGTTCGTTCCTCACATGGGCAGTTCAGAGAAATGAAGTCAGGCTGTTTCTTTTTTGTGCTCTGTGCTGAGACTGCTCTCTTTCCACTGCCTGGAGACATGATAGAGATGGTCACCTCCTAAACTAGGCTGGAAAAAAGTGGTCAGTGGAGGAATTCTGGAGCAGTTCAGGATTGGGAACATATAATTAGTACTTGAATTTGATCGTGTTTTGCATGATAAAAACATTTTTGAATAGTAGTTTTATAGACAAGTGAAACCTTTAGAAATCAGTTATCTTTGTATTTTTCATATCTGATTTCTGTTTTCAAAGTAACACATTTTAAAAGGAAATAATGTTGCTTGAGAAGCATAATAATTTTTGCAATAGAAAGCATAATGTAGAGAAATCAGATCATGCTTTCATTTGAATAACTTTACTGAAGAGGACACTTTCCGTCTTTGCAGAACTTAATTATCCCTTTGAAAAGCTTAATTGCGATGTTGTACTTCCTAAGTCTGCATTAATTTTTGCAAGATTCTTCCTGAATATATTTTTGTGTATGTATGAATTTTTAGCTCTGTGCTTGCACGTGCACACAAAAAATTTTACACTTTTTAACATCTCCCAAGTATTCAAAATAATTATGATTACAGTGACTAAAATATACTAAGAAATGTAAAGTATCACCATGGTACATTTGTATTTGTTCATTCAGTTCAGAAATAGATCTTAAATGCTTACTGAACAGATGTTTGATGAAGATATGGTTCGATAGATGGTTTAAATTGTCCCCGTTGAAGAACTTCTTTTTCCTAACAACTTAAATAATACAGTCTATTCAGCCATAGGAAGAGTTAGTATGAGAAGGATTTAGATACATTTCTTCAAAGAGGAGATGTTTTCTGGCTAGAAAAGGAAATGTGCTGGAAGCTGTAAGGTATGTTTTCATTTTGAAGGAGCTCGGCTATAATCCAACACATCTTTTCTTTCTTTGTGCTTAATACTTGCGTCAGTGTTATGTATTTACTCATACAGGAAGGACTGCCTCCCTCCTCTCAGAAGTCCCATGTTATCACAGAATCTGTTTCCACTGAAATGATTCACAAAATTCCTATTGACTTCAGCACTGCTGCACCAAACTAATGGAGGGGTGTGCATCTGCGCCATCACGCAGAACGGCCAAGCCGGGTTCGAGGGGTGCTTGTTTCTGTTCATGTCCTAAATGTGTTTTCATTCTGATTAGATAAGGTTATGAATTCTAGGTACTGTCAGGACTGTAGTGTTTTGTAGAGTGCTGTAGAGCAGATAAGTTCTTGCAATAGCATTAATCTGAGACTGGGAAGAAGTTCAAAAATTGATGAATTCAACATTGTTTTCTTGCACAGCATGCCACGGTTTGCTTGTATGGGATTTTTGGGATCTGTTTGAATAAAATACTGGCTTCTCTGCTGCTTAGTGATGCCTGTTTATTCTTTGGTTATAACAAGAATATAGGTTACTGTTGACCATTTTAGAATGTCACTCATTTAATCACTTGGCTTCTTCTGTCTCTGCTGAACATGTTAATGTGTTACAGTTTTGAAAAAAAAGAGAGGACATCTTGGGAAAAATGTTTAATAAAAGGTAGTTAGTGTTCAGTGCCTTTAAGCCTCCCAGGGGTATCCACATGAGAAGCACCCAAAGGAGAAAGTCTTCCATATCAAAAATAGGGTATTTATGAAGCACATTCCCACTTTGCTGTCAGGAATTTATTTTTATGATTGTTCATCATCCCTTGTGGCAGTGGCTGCAGCAGCTTCCATGTGTTTGCCTTCCATATGAATCATATATATTAAAATGCTGAACTGTTGCAACATTGTTAAGGAGGAAATCTCAACAAGGTTAGGTGGATTAATTTGCTTAATTTGGAATCTACAATTAGACATTTAAATATAGTTTTTTCCCTTTGAATCCTTTTATATCCAGTGTAAGGGAATACACAGCCTCAGAGGGCCATTCATATGCCTGGTGTTAAATAAGAATCTTAGGATGCCTCCCTAGGTGCCTAATATTTTTCTTTGACTAAAAAGGAAGCTGAGAGTGGCTGGGTGGCAGTTAACTTCAAATGCTGAAACAGCACAGATTAATTCCACTCTTATAGGTGGATACACTGTCTTAAAAAAAAATTAAACATAGATTATACTGAGAGAGAATAAATCCTTTCTGACAATATTAGAGGGTAAAAAAGGCATGGATCAGGTAACTAATTTGCTAATACTGTAGGAGATTGGATTTTAGAAGTAGTTATGGAGGGGGAAAAAAGCAAATGTAACATCTCACTCTTCTAGTTCCTGAAAGTTGTGTCAATATCTATTATGGATCAAGATTGGAGAGGTAGCATTGGAAACTTACGTAGCCATACAAGGTAAGTGCATCTCAGACCCTAAAACCAAGGGAAAGGAGGTAAAAGCTAGTGTTGAGGGTAGGTGCTCTCTTAATTTATTTTGGGGTCATACAATAGCTATAAAACTGGTCTTGGTTTACTAGCAGGCAGGCTACAGACACAGTGTTTGGTGTAGGTTGGTATCACATTAACATCGTATTCTTGAATGGACTGGAGTCCTTGGCCTGCAGTTATCTCCACGGAGAACTAGTTTAGAAGCAGGAGGAGCTTATGAGAATGGGTGATTGCTGGATCCTCCCAGGTGTGCTGGCCTGGGTTTGAGGGTTGATTTTTCTAGGAGCTATAAGGTTTCTAGAGGGTAAATGGTCATGGGAAAACATTACAGGTGGGGAGTGAGTTGACTGCTTGGGTTCAGAAAGCAGATAGTTTAGACTTCAGGTCCAGAACAGGCCTGGGAGTGGAAAGGTATGGTGGTAATCAGTAGTTCTAGTAAGTCAATCTGCCTTAAATAGAACATGTTTGCAGTTGTCTCTGGGAGCAGAACTAAAATCTGTAGAAAGCTGCTTGGTTAGGGTGGTGGCTGGTGCCATTTGAAGACACCAGCAATGAGGCACTGGAATGGGTTGCCCAAGGAAGCTGTGAATGCTCCAACCCTGGAGATGTTCAAGGCCAGGCTGGACAGAGCCTTGGATGACATAGTTTAGTGTGTGGTGTCCCTGCTCATGGCTGGGGGGTTGGAACTAGATGATCTTAGGTCCTTTCCAACCCTAACCATTCTATGATTCTGTGATTCTAAGACAGTGGGTTACACTGATTTTGTTAGTGCTTTGGCATCGTGCCTATGGCACCAGTTTGGGTTAGGCAGCACTAGTGTTGCAGGCAGCAGAGAGTTATAAGCTTGATTTGAAACAGGACCCTACAACCTACCCTTACAGTTCAAGTCCTCTGTCAGTATTTCCTACACCCTAAACCTAGGGCCAGTTGTAATGCTAACTTTTAGTGTTGATCAGAGATTCAAATTAACTACAAATATTCATAGAAACCACTGTCTTGTACAGATACCGACTGTCATCCTGCCTGTGGTGGGTAGATCCTCCAAACTGTGCCACAGGACATGGCCTTAAATTGAGTTAGGGCTGGGGCTTGGGGTGTGGGATGGGGGTCCAGCAGTACCTCTGGGTGGAAAGGGTTGTGTGAAGGAGAGGTCTGGATGTATGGACTGCTGGAAGTGAGGGAGCGGGGCTGCCACTCACAGGAGTAGCAGGGTGGAGTCAGGGAGACACGACTGTGGTGTGAGAAATTCCTGAACGGCAAATCAGGGCGTTTTCTGGGAACGCAGAGGGCTGGAGAAGGGGGATGCAGATGTGGAAGACAGGCTGCTGCTGCGCTATATGGACCTTTGGGGGCCGGGAGTGGAAGGGAGCTATCATGTGTGAGAAGCAAAACCCTTTTGAACGTATGGGAACTACTCAGGAAAATGACCTTGTAACTTTCATGTGGCAAATTAACCTCTACGAACTTGTAGTTTTATTTTGTGAGACTGGTTATGCTCAGGGAGGCTGAGGAAGGTAATTCACTAGCATGTTTGTGTTCAGCATGGAAGAGGGTGCCAAAGCTGAGCA